GTTGACAACGGTGAAATGTCAGGTAATTGGACAAGTGATGAAAAGTTGCAAAGTTCAACATGGCGCGAATTAGAATGCGCCAGACGGGTATTATGCACTTATGAAAGACAATTTAGCTTAGATAACAAGTCGGTTAACATCAACTCAGACAATAAAAACGTTCCACATATACTAAAGGTCGGCAGCAAGAAAAACATATTACAAAACATAGCAGTAGATATTCACAATATTTGTTCAGATAAGAACATCACTTTAAATTCTAGATGGCTACCCAGGGCAGACAATCAATACGCAGACAAATTGAGCAGAAACACTGATAACGATGATTGGGGTATTCACGGCGAATTGTTTAAATATTTAAATGGTAAATGGGGACCATATAGTATTGACAGGTTCGCTACGCATTATAATACACAATGCACACGTTTCAACTCAAAACATTGGTGCCCAGGTTCAGAAAGTATAGACGCATTCTCTCAAAATTGGGGTAACGACACAAACTGGTTAGTCCCACCACCGTCTCTTGTTCCTATGGTTTTACAAAAAATACAGCATGACAAAGCTTCATGTACCTTAGTTATTCCGGAATGGAAATCGGCCCCTTTTTGGCCGCTGATTTACACATCAAAAGGTAGAGCACATTTTATACAAGACATAGAATATCTGTCGGGAAAAAGGGTGATAGTTAAAGGAGCAGGCAAAAACGGAGTGTTCGTAAAATTGCCAATGAAATTTAGAATGCTAGCTTTGAAAATAGATTTTTGATAATACAATTGTTATTTGCAGGAGTGAACCTTAGACGAAACGTTGAAGCTGCTATAGTAGAGAGTGGCGTTTCAGAGAACAGTAAAATGTACAACTTAGCTGGAAAGATGACTACATTCCTTGTTGATTCGAGAAGTGAGAATACCTGTAAAAAGTACTATTCAAGTTTCAATAGATGGAAGAAATTCGCAATCGAAAACTGTTTAAATGAATTGCCTGCCGAGCCTGTTCATATAGCACTTTACATTACAAAATTAATAGATGAACAATGTTCTCCGAGTGTTGTTAATTCAGCTGTATATTCAATCAAATGGGCCCATGATCTTAACGGTTTTAATGATCCGACAGAAAATTCATTTGTAAAATACCTTTTAGAATCCGCTAAAAGACGTAATGGTAGGCCTGTAAACAAAAAAGATCCAGTTAACAATGACATGTTGATTGATTTATGCTCTATGTACACAGATAGTTCAGATTTACTTATAGTTAGGGATCTCACTATGATTTTGTTGTCTTATTCAGGTTTTCTCAGGTTCGATGAGATAAGTAAATTAAGATGCAAAGATGTTAGCATTTTCGAAGATCATTTAAAACTTTTGATTTCTAATAGCAAAACCGATCAATACAGACAAGGGAATGAAATTCTTATTTCTAAAGGTATCACTATCGCTTGTCCAGTTAACATGTATTTACGATATTTGTCTTTAGCTGGTTTAGACGCACAATCTGAACACTTCATATTCAAACCTGTTTTTAGATCCAAAGGTGTAGCCAAACTTATATATAAGAATAAACCTATTAGCTATACTGCAGCTAAGGAAAACATTGTAAAGAGACTTAAGCTGGTAGCCCCAAGTTTAAATCTTGGTCTTCATTCCTTACGATCGGGTGGTGCAACTGCAGCTGCTAAGTCTAATGTAAATGAAAGATGCATAAAGCGACATGGGAGGTGGAAAACAGATTTTGTTAAAGATGGTTATATCGAAGATACTTTAGAAAAGAGAATTTCAGTTTCACAAAGATTGGGTCTTTGATATCATTTTACTACACTCTAACCCTTTCTTTGGTATTTCTATGCTTGCTGGGCTATCGGCAACACTATATATTGTATTAATTCATGCCTTCATACTAGAATAATAGATATGAGCGTATAAGATATACGTATAATTTCTCACGTTTCGCTAGTATAGGGAGAAATTATTGTATGTACGGTACTAGCGTATAGTTTTATAAGTTTACGTCACTAGGTATAAGACACGTGACTAATTTTATAGCGGGAAATTTTTTCCCTGAGACTATTACTTTCTAGCCCGCCGCAGACAGGGCAACATTCAAGTTTCATTCATATTATGAATATATTATGATACATGTATTTATATGTTTTTAAAACAATACACGTCCGAGTATGTCTCGTGAGACGATTTGTCGCATTGGGTCGGACCCAGGTTTCCAGTTTATCCCATTATTGGGTTTGTTTGGTTGTTCCTGGCCGGCGAGGTCGTTCATGATCGAGTTATTCATTTATTCAGTTATTCAGTTTATATTCATGTCAACCATATAATAGCTCTTGTTCGTATAAGGTTTACATTATTCTAGCTAAGTTGTACCTAATAGTGTATATCATGGTTTCGTTATTCGGAGTAATTGTGATTATTATTTTTTCATATATTTATATATATTAAGATACATGTATGTAAATGTTTAATAAATTCCGTTGTCCACTATGCTTGCTGGGCTATCGGCAACACTATATATTGTATTAATTCATGCCTTCATACTAGAATAATAGATATGAGCGTATAAGATATACCTACGTTTAAGTATTAGATATTATAGTCTTTATTTCACTGGTGTCTGCACGAAGATATAACAAGACTGTATTAATTTTAACTAACAGTTATTAAGTGTGTTCAATGTAGTGAGTATCTAACTTAACTCATCATAGATACCAAGATTAAAATGTTGTACGCCAGACGCGCTACAAAAGACTCATCAATGACGCTTGAATAAAAAAAGTTAAAAAGGCCAAATAAAGTACGAAGTTGAAGAGCATTGTGGACCCAAAATCCAGAAAGAAAGTTTTTGCCAAATAAAGCTAAGGTATTCTATTCCTTGGGTAGAAAATCCTAAGTATTTCGAAACAATTCCAAATTCTAAGGGTCTGTATGGATTGTACAGTATTTCACAATCTTATCGTTGTGTTGCTTTATGGCAATAACCAACAAATTGTATGTAAAATAGATAAATCGGTTTTTTTAAATTATAAATGGTTATATTTCTATTTATTATAATGTCCACATAGTTTCGAAAATCAAATTGAGTCCTTAAAACTAAATCCATAAAAGTACATAAGAGCATGTGTTATATTTGTAAAGTTTGATACATTAAACTATATATAGTGCAGTTCATTAAGTCATTTCTACTTTCGAATTCTTGCATTCGTCTTAATTTAATCACGGTTGATGTGTCGTTTCTTTCACTTAATTATATTTGTATATCAAGCATGGATTAGTAAACATTAAAAAAGACAGCACATTGCTAAAAGAGTACAATGGATATAATATATCTCACCTGTTTGCCCTAGTCACAAACTTTCACAATTAGTGACTCCGCGGTGGTCGATGTTGTAAATACGGGCCGAACACAACGCGGGAACGTAACGTATTTCATGTATTATAACGTAAAGACTTTGTGACGTTATTCTTGTATACTTGGGCATTTCTAGATAGATTACAATTTATAACATGTAGAACGTTTTCTTCCTTTATTCGCGTATTCTCGACAGTCGATGCCAGAAAGTTTCACTTCGAACAAAAACGTCGAAAAGATAAACAGTCATCTAAACATTAGGGGCATTAGATACGAGATATAAAAACATTAGAATGGGATTTTTTTTTTGTTCAATCTTTAATGAAAGTGAAATAGTGAAATAACAATTCGCGTTTAGCAGCCAGTTTGCTTCAATTTTGTCAAAATAAGCTAAGAAACATCGCTGATGAATTATCACTTGCAAGTGAATAATTCGACCTAATTGAATCACTATTCATGTGACCTTTAATTTGACCCCTTAGCTAGAGATGGATAACGCACAAACTAGGCGTGTTCAGCTATCAAAAGGAAAAAGATGTCAACATTGAAGGTGAAACATGGGTAAACCATTTGGTTGACTAATTTGATCCACTAAAACTAATTCTTATACAGGTAAACACGATGATTAACATATGTTTTAACCTATAATATGAAATCAAACAGACCTAGAAAAAGCCAATTGATCGTGTTTGCTATCTATTAAAATCTTAATATATGTTTCATATCGGGTTATATGACCGTCGGCAGTCTTCGGAGGTCACCTCGATGGTTATTTAGATGGCATCTATACTAAAATACACACGAAATGTTGGTACATATTATTTTCGACTTGTAATCATTTGGATATACGTTTTGGTATGTTATAAATCAAAAATGAGAATTTGAGTCAAATCGGTGAATATGAATTTGACAGCTAATGCCCCTTTGAAGGAGAAAGTAACCCAAAAATGTCGCATAAAATAGTTGATAAAGTTTATACCGCCATTTTGTGGGTTGTAACATTTTGTGAACTATATTACATTGAATAGTATTAAAAGTGTTCTTTTCAATGTCACAGCTTTCATTCCGATATTTATGATTCCATATTATAATATCGTAGGCAAAATATTTTTTCTTTACTTTAAATTTCGGTAATACAATGGTGGACCGGCTAAAGTTGAATAATGTAACAAAACCATTCGTCGGTATAAACGAACAATTTTAACAATCGTAATATTCTTTCAATGTTAGAATTCGATCAGATCATTGCTATGATAACTGTGCTACAAATTTGCGACTTATTGACATCTGCCAAATAGTTTGGTTCGAAGTAAGAACATGTCTTATATTCATCTTGTTCTCTCGCCATGAGTTTTTATTTGTTCGACTGAAGAATATGCGAGTTGTGTTTTTATTAATACCGAATGGAAACGGATTGGTAGTAGTAACGTCACAAGTTCAAGAAATGTGGGAGCTGTCTTTGTGGTGGACAATTCTACAAATAATAACATTGTAATTAGGTTTCCTTTTCCTTTAAACATAACGTAATAATCTGTGCAACAAGACCCCGTCCTTAAACCGGTGGTTAACTCGAGCAACCACAATGAATGCGGTAACTGTACTAGTACTAATAAACAAATCATGGTAGTTTTATCTTTTTGTTGTAGCGGACAAAAACAGACTGTTTCTTAGTTCATACGACAAAGGGCGGACTGATTATATCAACGCTGTACAAGCTCCAGTATGTGTATACATATATTGCTGTATTAGAAGGTTTTACTCTTATTCCCCCAGCCCAGTTGCTCAGTACTTCGTGCTGGCATACAAATACGGAGAGATTTATTGACATTTCCGGCTGTAAAGTAATAAACACTTTAAAATGAAGTAATGTATCTCCCTCATGGACAACTCTGTTCCTTGTCCTGGTTTTGATAAATATTTATTCCTTTTACGGTACATCAGCTCACCAACGTTTTATTAGATTTTGAATTTTCATGGCCTCGAATATCACTGACAAAACACCTATTGTCGAAATGCTCATCTAGTGCAGTAAAATTTGTTCTATTTCATGTTATTAATTTTTACCAAATATTTTTTATGAAGATCTTCAAGACGGCAATAAATTAGATGTGACTCTTTTCTGTAGGATGATCGAGTTTTTGTTACAAATTTCAGTCTTGTTATTGTGAAGGTTCATTTTTTATTAACTTTACATATTATGTTTTGAATCTTTAGTCATATACAAAGTTCGTTGGATATTTGACAACACAGCTACCACTACCTGACACCAAGGTTGACTTTTGGACTATGGTTGGAGATCACAATTCGTCTACAATTGTCGTGTTTCTAAACGACTTAGCTGAGGTACATTTTGTTGATCTTTATTCAACTATTTCTGCATTATAAGTTTATATTTGATTTAAACTACATATATTTATATTTCTTTCACTATAAAATTATCAATAATAAATTATGTTTCTCATTTTAATTATAGGATATCTTAATGACTCTGGTGCTTTTGTGCACTGTTTATTTCATTTTTTCAACCGAATAATGTTTGGGTTGCCAATAGCAATGTACTTGTAGAATCTACATCAGTAGGTAGTGCGGGTTAAAAATGTATCCAATATAGAATTATGGAGATGCCATATGATTGCCAATGTGACACCTATCCCCCAGAGTCCAAATGGAGTGAATGCAAGTATCTATAGGTCAACGTATATATACTAGTCAACAAAAGTAACGATACACAAGTTTGAACTCCAATTTATCATAAAATATAATAAATAGGAAAAACTGTTAAATTATCCAATGAAAAACATTCAGTTGCAAAGCAAATACATATGATTAAAAGAATCTGACCAAATTGAAAAGTGTGTTATTGAACACAGGGGTCAAATTTATTTTGCAGAAAATGATGACAAAAGTCGGCACTTAATTTAGAAGATGAGAATTAAGTATTAAAATATCTGCAAAGGCATTCAAAATTTTAAGCAGACCATGTTTAAGTTTAAAGTTTTAAGTTCTAATATCTATTTTTGAATTTTTGGCTGAAAATACGATTTTTGAAATAACAAAAAATTCCAAAAATTATAGCGTATTTGCTTTAAATCAATAGTGTTGATAAGAAAATAACATTCTGTAAATATTAGAACATTTGGACAGTATATCCAATTTCATTATATATGGAAAATACTTTGCCTTGTATCGTTTCTCTTGTTGACTAGTATATATACCGACTACAACAATAAGCAAACACATACAGTATATTCACCAATAAAGCCCGACATGAAAAAATGTGAAACAATTTTCAAACGACAAAAAACCTACATGCTAATTAATGACAAAACAGTGAACTAAAAAATGTAGAATATGTTTTGCTTTCCTTTTTTTCGTGTTACTTTATAATCTTATAAGAGTATTGAAGTCTGATTATATGAAATATATTTATTCAGGCTGACTTAGTCTACTCAACTTCAAAAGACTCCTTCACATGTGGGAAATTCAGCTTGAAAATAACAAGCAGAAAAAAAGAAGATCTGGGTGTTACAAGTTGTAAGGTCATTCTTTCCAAGAAGGTAATTTTTGGAATAGCTTATACATGATATACAACTTCAACTATTGTTTCCAAAATATATCGTACAAAACAAGTTGTACAATGGTAGGCTGCATCTTTTCACAAAATTCAAAAATATTTATTGTAAGTTGTAGCAATTTCCAATGTAAATTTAGAGGATTTAAAAAACTTTTTGTTAATATTATCATTTTAAAAAATTCGTGGAAATATTTATTCAACATGAATTTATTTCAAGTATTTTAAACATTCAAGGATTACCAATCGAGAGAAATAGCCCTGTATCTTGCAGTGTCCAAGGGACTACCGGATCCACAGGTTCTGTGCGAAATTGTTAATCGAATATCTACTCGTATAAGCATGTCAAATGATCCAGTGTCCGTTGTGAGCGGGTTAGTATCAAATGAAATATATCTATAAATCATTAACGTTTGATATAGAATAATTAATCTGCATGTCAAGTACAATTTGATATCATTATTTCTAGTATGAGTATGTTAATCAAGCAGATTGTATGTATTTGATATTTTGTTGGTATTTAACGCCGCTTTAAGCGCCCTTGGGTGCATTTGAAATGGTTATTATGCGGACGGTTTTTTCAACTAAGATCAAAGTTAAAAGAACTTTTACATGTTTCTTAAAGTGTATGAAATTACTGTGCGATTAGATTTTTATTAAAGGCAAAATTTCTGTTGGAGAAGAAATACCAATTAAATACCAGAGAGCCAACTGTTACATATAAACATTATTCTGAAGTTGTAAACGATTCACCTAAATCAAGAACTTCATATATGTTCAGTAAATTTAATATAAGATGTCATTATTATCATTATCATTGCCTTTTATGTGTTGGCACGAACCAAAAGAGACAAGGATTGAAAGCAGCAAGTTCGCTAAAGCAAATTAAAAGGCAATGCGAGTCATTTTGTAGATATTTTATGAGATGAATATGATTTCGTGTAATTTAAAAACTGACAACATTAATATTATTTGCTTATGGAAAAAATGAAAAATTGACCCAAGGATTTTGTTAATATTTTAGTGATGGAGCTAAAAACTGTGGGGTTTTCTGCACGTTCGCAAACGCTGTTTCCAGTATGACCATAGATAATAATGCAAACATATTTCAACTTGCCAGACTGTTGCAGTTGAGGAGACCAGAGTTCTTTTCTGATTTTGTACGTTTTTATATAATTAAGGCTTATGATCTTTATAAGTGATTGAAATGTGTACAAGTATATATATTTGTTAAGGGGCCAGCTGAAGGACGCCTCCGGGTGCGGGAATTTCTCGCTGCATTGAAGACCTGTTGGTGACCTTCTGCTGTTGTCTGTTCTATGGTCGGGTTGTTGTCTATTTGACACATTCCCCATTTCCATTCTCAATTTTATGTAAAAACATTTTTCACGATCGGAGGACATAGTCGAATAGTCCCTGCATTTAACATCATTCGGGGGCGTTAAAAACAAAGATGAATATTATGATGGGTCGGTTATTTCTTAAACAGACTATTATAATTTGGTGGAAACCAAGGTTTTATCAACATTTGAGCTGCGTCGGATAGAAATCGACCTTATGCAAGTGCGCGTATACATGTACATGTATACGACTTTGATTAATTTTGTAACATTCAAATACGAAATAAAAGATGAATTTGGCCTGTTTTGTAGGGTTCTTATATAGAATCAATTTTCAAACAGTTACAGATATTGCATAGAGATTTTTTCAACTCGAAATAAGTTAACAGAGGTATTGATATTTATTTGCATAAGGTCGATTTCTATCCGACGCAACTCATTTGTTAACTATTCTATGTGTTTACTTTGAATAAAAATATACCTTTGAAATTATAATGAAACTTTTGTACATTTTGATATAGCCATGACAATTTTCCCACAAAATTTTATTTAGTTTATTTGTCTTAATATACAAATTATCCTATAGATGATATCCCTCCTTATTATTTTCAGCAAACAATTGAGTATATACAAATATTCTCTTCGTTCATTTCAGGAGGAATACCGTCTGTGTTATGAAGCTCTGTACCTGTATCTGGAGTCCTCAAATGTATACGCAAATTTCTGATTTATTTACAAATCATTTCACACAGATGAAAATAAGCATCTTGATACAATTAAGAATGGCTCTTTTGTAAAATTGTATACATTTTGCTTAAAAAACATTTTTAGTTTTTTTTTCATTTTGTTTAAGTACATTTTTAATTTATCTATCGGACTTTGTACTCTGCTTATTGTTGTCATTACTGCATTTATTCATTCATGTTTATACTGATCCGTTAACCAACTATCAACAAACTTATGAACTTTTGTGACCCCATCCTTATTTTTCTTGTGTCTGTCCCGGGAAAGGAGCTGTTAATTCTGTTGTTGTCGCTGGTTATCTACTGCCCTCGTTTAATGTTTCAATTTCTTCACTGTCTGTTATCTCGGGCATTTTATATATTAATCTAAGGTGTTTTTTTCTATCTTTTTTGAAGGTCGTACGATGACCTGTAGTTGGTAACATCCTGGACCTTTTTGTTTTGTGAATAGTTGTCTCATTGGCAATCATACCACAATTCAGGGTATTTATATGCTAACTGCATTGGAAATCTAAAACCCTTGAATTACATTTAGTGAATAGTCTGGTATTTTTGTCTTTTACTCCATTTCAATTCTTAAAGATAACTTGGCACAAAGAGTCATGTAAGTTGTGAACACATTTTTATGGTTATAAACACGAATATCTTCAGTTGTTGTCATAAACTTTTTACATTTCAGTTATGAGTTAGAATTGTTGTTAGTATCTGGTAATTCATTTCTGGCTGTTAACCACAAATTCAAACAACCTAGGGTTTTTCGTACAGTGTATGCCTTGCCAAATAAACATGGTCTTATGATAACCTTTTAAGTGCATACGATACAGTTTTGATCCCAAGGTGGTTTTTTTTACGAAAATTTGCATACACGCTATTTTTCACCTAGTCAATGCAAATATGTAATAAAAAATATACCTTCATGTGCTACTTTAAGAGATAAATGGGGTCGGAATTTTAGACATTTACTCAAAATTTCGTTTTTTGGAACATTTCTATCCTTTGGATAGACATACTTAACTGTTTTGTTTCAAAAGATAAACACAATAGGATTTTTGTAAAAACATTTGGAAAATCTTTTTTACATAAGTATGCTCTAAATTTGTATAACAAATCTTTGGAAATAATTAATTTTTATCAGTTTCAGGATTTTAGGAAAAAATGGAATTTTTTGCTGTATACTTATCTTATTTTAAAAAATCTCATCGGTGACTTTTTCATAAATATTGGTACAAATAATCCCCATACGTAATCAATCCTAATGTCATTTTAAGAAAGAGGGGTCCATGAACTTGTTTTCAAGTTATATCAGTCTGAATGATAAAAAACTGTCGAAAAATGCATCTTTTTCCGATATGTCGCAGTTTACGTCGCGAAAAATAACATTTTACGTTGGCAACGTCATTACCTCCCCTGTAACTGTATCGTATGCCCTTAATATTCCAATAAGTTAACTTGTGTTTTTAAGTTGATAACCAATTTATGCTTCATATTTATCTCTCTTTATTCAACGTTTCTTTCTTTATACTTGAAAGATTTTCAAAGGTAACTAGCGTTTACAATAAAGACATTAAAGAACAAAAAAGCTTACGTCGTGAAAAACAAGTCTAATATCATTTGGATATATATACTAAATGTTTAAAATCAATTTATAATTTCTTAAGAAGAGTTATGATTTTCTTTACGTCCTTTTCACAAAATTATTCAATGCTTGTGGCTTTATGTATTTTCTTTATTATTTTGTATTTGTTGAACATTCATATAACATACAATGATCTATGACAAGGAATACCATATCCCTAATAATGTATTTCCATTGTTTTTGCTGCATTTGTTATTTGTAATATATTGTTACAGTGCTTTTAATAAATATTTTCGTCTTTTCAAAGATTTTGTTTTTTGTTTTGTTTCAGTCCTGTTAACGTAAAAGAAACCAAACGAACGATACCCGAATCCTATAATAACTCACAACGAACTCAAACAAAAGGCTGCACGAAAATGGTACAGACGCAAAACGAACTATGAACGAACGATAGCATGTACCATAAACCATACGATGAACGATACCACAAACGCTCGTTTTGCGTACAGAGTATCGTTTAGCGTATATCGTATCGTTAGCGAACATTGTTTCGTGTATTGACACTTTGTTCAATTGAACCCTGTTTGTGTGAGGCAATTGGCAAATTTAATTTCTTAATTAATGAATTCAAATTATAGGCATAAGGGTAAGATATTACAAAACGTTTAAAATAAATTTAACAGGCACACCTAAATCTATTTCTTAGTTTGTAAATGAATGAATGATAAATTATGTATATTAGTAAATTGAAATTGATACATTGATTTTTTTCGATATCTTGATCCTTTGATTCTTACTTGGGGTGCTACAGCGAGTGTTATCGGAATAACCAACGGCAGTTTAAATTTTCTCGTGTTTAAACAAAACCCATGAGCTTTCCTGTGTATATTTTCGAAGTAAAATACAGGCAGTCTAACAAAATTTATTTGTAAATGGAGTATATTTCATCATCAGGACTGGACTCGATTTTATTGAAGACTTTACATTTAAAAAAAATATACAATGTTACGTTCATTCACAATTGTATTTATGATAACTATTATTTTATTTTATATTCAATTTTTAATTTATTTAATTAATTATTTATTGTTTGCAGAAATAGTCATGTTATTGCAAACTAAAGATGACTCATCAAAAAAATAAGTTTTTTTCTAACAGATTAGTAGGTAATTTGAATCGGTTGTTCCGTATATTGTTTTTAGGTTCAAACATTTACAAGAAGGAAATGTTAAATAACAAGCCAGTTTGGTTCACATTTCGTCAAAATATCTCAAAATATTAAAAATAAAACAATCAGTCCACTCGCATTAAACGCCATTTTTAATTCGAATTTAAAATATGTTTTCCTGACAATTATGATCAGGAAACATACATCATTGTAACTCGGTGATTCATGAACATACATCATTGTAACTCGGTGATACATGAACATACATCATTGTAACTCGGTGATACATGAACATACATCATTGTAACTCGGTGATACATGAACATACATCATTGTAACTCGGTGATACATGAACATACATCATTGTAACTCGGTGATACATGAACATACATCTTTGTAACTCGGTGATACATGAGCATACATCATTGTTACTCGGTGATACATGAACATACATCATTGTAACTCGGTGATACATGAACATACATCATTGTAACTCGGTGATACATGAGCGGCCCAAAACATACATCATTGTAACTCGGTGATACATGAGCGGTCCAAAACATACATCATTGTAACTCGGTGATACATGAGCGGTCCACATCTTTTTTTTTAAACGTGTAAAATTCAAATACTAAATGGTTTTTCTTCTTCCATAAGTATATATTCGAAGCATTGATTCATTTTTTTAAGAATTTCAGAGAGAGGTCCAGAAACTTCTTTATCCGGATGGAGCTCAAAGTTAGAACATTAGGGGTTATGCTCATCTTGAGACCGAATCGGATGTATAAATAATTAGCCACGTTCAGTATGATTGGGCGCGGTAAATCTGATGATTTCTGTAAGTAAAGTGCCTCGGTCTTTGTTACGTAGTGGGCCTATTGCAATTCAAAATTTATACTTCTATTAAACATTTCCCCGTTCTATAGTCCAAATTTTGCGCCCGTTATCCCCGTTGACCCACTTTGCAAAGACTATCTATTATAACATTTATGTTCAAATTGTCACTTGAACTGAATATTTATGAAATAAACGCTTTGCATTTGCACAAATTGTCATTTCAGTTGTGCTAATGAAAAATCTTTAACTTGCGCCAGAAACTATATTTCAATTGCACCAATTTAATACTGCAACAGGCAAATAAAAAAGATTATAGTTATGAAGTTGCGCACGATATTAGTGTCATTTTGAAAATATGTGGCAGATAGCGGGTATTTCCAATTTACGCTCCTTATTTACACAATAAATATTTATGTCTTACAGATCATTCCAAAGAATATAAAACAACGAAATAAATAAAATTGGAGATTTTGTGCTTTCAGTGTTAGGGTAAAGGTTGTCCGATAATAATTATTGATTGCACGCATATATGTAGCAGGCTCAAATGTATTAATTTACAAACACGCTCGTGTACATTTTAACCTAGATTAAGCTCAATTTTGCTTTGTGTATAGTAGATCCGAATTTTTATTTTTCTCTGGACGTCACAAAACTTGGCTAGAATATTGCCTTTTATAATAATTATTGTTGAAACAAAATCAAAGTCTTTGAGACCGATAAAAACGATAGAATTTCCCATGTTTTGCCTAAATTTTGCTCATATTATGCTATTTCAAAAACATAATAAAAAGTATGTGTCACCAAGCTTTTTTCAAGCTTCAATTTGCGAACAATTATCGGATTTTGTAAGGATTAATTACATATAAGAAGATGTGGTATGAGTGCCAATGAGACAACTCTCCATCCAAGTCACAATTTGTAAAAGTAAACCATTATAGGTCAAAGAACGGTCTTCAACACGGTCTTCAACACGGAGCTTTGCTAAAAGCCGTTTTTTATGTGAATGGACAGAACAAATTTGGAATCCCCGTAATCTTGTTCTTGCTTCATAACAAAATAGAAACTGTTTTATTTTGTTAAATCCTTTGTTAAAAAAAAAATTCTGAGTAACTTGTTTCCTCCTGATAAAACAAAGATTTTAAATCTTTAATAAATGAAAACGTTTTCTTTTTATATGAAAATTAAAAAGGGTTCACAAAAAATAATTTCTTTCTGCATCAAATTTTCTAAATAGTAAAAATCTAGACTGATCATTTGCAGCCATCTGCAATCAAAAATTAATTTAGACCTCTGATCTACCTTAAAATATTGAAAATTAACAAGATAGTGTAAGAACACCTGTGTGTATTTCAAACTACATATTGTATAAAAAAAATTTAGGGAATAGGATTTTCATAAAGTATTGCCATTTTTTACAAGTTCCACAAATCGTAATTGATGTCATGATCGTGAGCTATACGTATATGCTGATGATTAATTTTCGAGTTTTATCCCGATAAAATGTGAATTACAGATTATAACACTCGTATAAAACACTTGTTATGAGAAAAAAATGAATACACTGAAAAAAAGGTTTTTTGGCACAAAAGAGGCAAGGGTCAATATCCCATGAATTCATTTAACACCAGTGCCGATTTCACAACGTCTTTGAATCTTTATATAGGTATAATTACATAAATTCATAGTACCACAGCCCGGTATGTGTACTTTAATGTTCTACTGAAATCGTCATTTATTTCTAAACAGGTCACCAAGTTTAAAACGAATGAAGAAAATCCAAAACAGCAATGTTGAAAGATTTTGGCAAATTTGTAGTATTTTTCACATAAAAAAGTACATCGTCAACCAAATAGAAAAATATATCAATGGTAAAGCTATGCATTATCTTTAGGACACAAAAAAAAATCATTTGGTAAGCGACGTCCATCAATGCAAAATTTGACTAAAAAATGTAAAATTTGTAGTTTTGAATCAAAATGCCTCCAACAGCATTGAGCATGTAGAGCTGAAAAAAACATTTGGCATTTATGGAAATATGTGAAGTTGTGAACAATATTTTAAGGTTATGATATAGACTCTTTAATAATCTATTTCTAGTAGGATTTGGCTACTTTTAGAAGATGACCCTGAGAATAGGAAAAGGGGGATGTTTGAACTACCTTTTGTACTCAACGGTCTGGTGTGTTCTTATAGGGCAATATTTTATCTTTAATCTTTATGGACTTTCATAAATGTCACAGGATAATTTTCTACTTGAAATTTTACGGACAAATTTTCTCTTTTTGTCTCCGAATCGTCACCTCGGACATGTAAAAACTATAATTTTATACCAATTTCCTTATTCGAGACTCGTATATTTGGGATTCAATTTAGAAACTTTAATCGTCATTTTTCTTACCTGAAAAATGGACGGACGATACCCGAACGCTATACGAACGATTCCCGAATGCTGTACGTACGATTGGGCGCAAGACATCTGGCCTAAATCATAACCGTCACCATGGTATCATCTTGGCTAAAAAAATTGGGGTCAGGTTTACATTTGGACTAATGAAATTATTTTTCCTGTACAGGTTAATTGCAGATTAAAAAATGTCAGTACTAGTCTTTTTATTGTATATCATAATAATCCAAAATAAGACTCTGAGAAAGAAATCATGTGTTTGCAAGGAATTCAAAAAGCTGTTAGCAATTTCTATAGTTTTTTGGCCACGATTGTTTTCCGTTTTAATGAAAAAAAAACTACTTTTTTTTTCAAAAAAAAGAAACGCATAAAACTTACCTATTACTAAGGGTTGATTGAAAACTAGTTTTCTGTGAGTAAGAGCATTTTAGTACGAGATTATTACTTTATTATAATGTTCACGTATATTGTTACACCAGTAAAACAACAATATCGAAGTTAAAAGGAACAGACAAATTATGTTTGATTTTTAATGTTAATAATTTCATCTGTAACCGGAGAGCAAGATTCGCACTAGAAAATCACATTGTCACCCTGGAATCGAACCAGGGAAATGTGTGAATGTAGTCAGCGCTCTAACCGACTAAGCTAAAGAAGTACTTGCTCAGCTGATTACGCCTGGCTAAGTATCTACTACTCAAGGGAAGCAATCCCGTCACACTCCTTTCTCCTAAAGAGTCGCCATACCATTATGACTCTTCATAACACAAACTCTGGCTAGATATCACTTCAAACCACCGTAGGCTTTTTTAAGTATGTATGGCGTCAAATATAAAGGTAGAGCAGGATTCTTACAAGAAAAATCACATTGTTACCCTTGACATCGAACCCAGAA